AATGATATGACGTGACGCACACACGCACGATAGCATCGTCAGCATTCCGCATTCGGTCTGGATCTCATCGGCGCGTTGAGCAAATATCCCACATTTGAATCATTGATTGTTTTCATCTAGATCCCTCAACCGATCCTGCTTACCAATTCATCATTCATTAATTGCACTCCTGTCATCCGATTCGATTATTCGTTTTTTTGTCATCTTGGCTTCCCTCTCCACTCCGGTTGTCATCGTTATTGAGCTCATGTGTGTATGTGCGCATGTGTTGGTATGCAACTTTTTTTCGATACACAACTGCTTTNCCCCCCAATCCTATCATTCATTCACTTTACTCGTTCACCCCTCTCCCTCCGGGCCAAAAGGATGCACTTCCTTATAATGAACTGATGTACTCCCGTTTAGTAAGTGCTTCGTACGGTTTTTCGTGTCATCACCCCACCCCACCCCCCAATTGATAGAGATCAATTTCAGTGCGTGTGTGAAAGACGAAGGGGGGGGGACAGGAGGGGAAGCGACATAACAGAATCTACGTGTTCCTGTGTGTAGTCGTTTATGAACAATCAAAAAAGGACTCGAATTTCCCTGAATCATTTTAAGCAATCAAAACCCTCTACTCACTTTTGGCACACAACAAATTTTACTCGCTACGAGAATTATATCACTAATATTCCTCGTTGATTGACCTGTTAATGTGATAAGTGATAACGTAAAGTTTTCCTCGGAATTCGAAGAGGACAATCAGTTCGCGTTCCTGTGTGTATTAATCCAAAAAAGCAGACGGTGAAGGAGAAGTTGTCATAAGAATATGTGTTCAGGACAATACGTGTACCGTGAAAGCTTTGTTCCAATCTATTATAAAGAAGGAAACTTTGAGACCCGGTTCGATAGAACAAGAAAAACCGCATCTATGCGCAGGTTGAATAGTAAGCTGAAGATGACTAGCCAATACGTTTAATTGAAAAGGCCGACGTACTTTACAATCAAATCGGTCTTGGTGGACTAGCTCACCTGTATGTCGACGGCTATTTGATGAGACTCGATTTCACCAATAGTCAACTAATGTCATCCACAAGTTCCAATATTATTTCGAATGTAGGTACGTTTGGTAAATTGCGCACTCGGACCTCAGAACACATACGAAAATGGCTCGAAATATCGCCATCTGAGTTTGTTTGAAATGCATTTACGAAATATTTCCAAGGCACCGGACATTCTCTCAATCCCCCCC